AAAGATAATCTGAATAATCTGGTGAAAGCTGGTGAGAATTTATTGAAGAAAAAATTTACTAGAGTGAATCTAGATTCAGGCATATATGAAACAGTTCTAGATAAAGGAACCATTCAGGAAGAACTCGATAGGTATTAATTCATTTTATTTTATAATAATAACTTATTTATTTTCTAATAGTCCTAACTAAGATGGAAAAAATACTAACAAATATTGATATTTATATGTTTGCAGGTTTGCTAATAAACTCTCCGATATAAGAAAAAAGAAAAATTCCGAGCATAAAAATGGCAAGTGAATGAGTGATCACTAGATTGAAAATGTCATTAATTCATTATTGAAGATCTATATTTTACTTTATTTTCTTAATCAATAATTTCAGTAGTTTCTAATACTTTAATGTGTTCAAATGATTGTTTTTCATTTTCAAAGTTCAGAAGGATTTTAAATTTTCATTTAACTATGTGTTACTTTAAATTTAATCCACCTTTAAAGAAGAACTATCTTGACTAGTGAATAAAGGGATCGACTTTCCAGTTTGAAGTCGTTGTAGTATTATTTTATATAATAATAAGTTTAGAATTATTTAGTTATTTTTGAATGTTACTTTTAAATATTGACAAATATATAAATTAAAATTAAAAAATAATTGATCATTAAGGGATTAAACCTAAAAATATTTTTTCAATAAATAACCGCTCTAGACATATTAAATTATATCTTACTAGATATATGATCTGTGTTTGTACGGGTTTGATTAGAATTATTATCTTAAATATTATTTTAAATAAAAATATATTTTGAAAAATAATCACATATAATCTCGTGTTTTAAATTATATTAAATATAACAATATGAGCATCTTTATTAATTTATATTATAATTTTATTTTATTATATCAATTAATTTCTTTAAGTTTAATATATATATATATATATATATATATATATATATATATATATATATATATATATATATATATATATATATATATATATATATATATATATATATATATATATATATATATATATATATATATATATATATATATATATAATAATAATAATAATAATATAATATACAATATTATAAAAAATATTATATTAAATCATTTGTATATATTATTTTTCATTAATCATAAAGTTCATAATCCATATAAGTGTATATTAATTTATACTTCAATTATTTAATCAATCAATATAAAAAAAATTCTCATTTGCGACGTAAAATTCACGTCACAATATGAAAAATCACGTTACAACAATTAACTTGTGACATGAACAATCACGTGGCTAGGGAGCGGGTGACAACTTTATTGCGACGTGATTATTATGTTAAAAAGTTGTGACGTGAAAATTATGTCGCAATTTGCTCACACAGAAATCCTAAAATTACAGTGGGAGCAGGCGTAGCAGACGCAGGAAGTCAGAGCAGTATTTTATTTGTCACGTAATTTTCGTGAAAATCACGTCACTAGTTAATTATATTTAACACTACCACGTTCTATTCAACTTTTGTTTTTTATTAAAAAATTAAGTTGCAACGTGATTTATATGTCACAATTTTGTGACATGGAAATCATGTCATTGATTTTTTAAAAAATTTAATTGCTGGATTTTTTTTTCTTTTATAATTAATAAAATTAATTAATAAATTCAATATATAATAAACTAAATTAACAAATTTAATATAGAATAAATTCAATATGTTAAATTTAATATAATAAAATTAATAAACTAAAATTAAAAATTTAAGATTTCTTAATTTAATACCCCATTTTCAATCTCCTTCGATCAATCTTCTTCTTCAATCTTTTTCTAAACTCTTCAATATTCTTCAATTTTGACAAAATAAATTAAACTAAAATTTTAATTAGAAAATATAATAAATAATAAAGAAAATTATATAAATATATTAAAATTAAATTATATAAAACAATTACCTATATCAATATAATTGCATAATTTGAAAAGATTTGAGGAAGATTTATGGTGGAGGTGGAACAATGAAGGAAAGAGAGAAGAAAACAAAGAAATAGAAACAGAAGGGGGAAGGATGTTGATTTGTGAACGAGATTGTTAAGTATATACGCCACGTGAAAATCACGTCGCAATCTTGTTACGTGAGATTCACGTCACAACATATTCAACCGTAAAAAATATTATTCACTCAGTCTTCACAACTCTGAACTAAGTCAATCCTCAGTCAGATATTTCCCCCCTCGAATGTTGCGACGTGATAATCATGTCATAACTAAATTTTTTAAAATTTTTAAAATTTTTAAAATTCACTCTGTCTGAACGTTAGAGCCTTTTTTGTATATTAACTTTTTAGTTGCGGCGTGAATCCCACGTCGCAAATATTTTTATTTCATAAAAAACTTTGAGTCCCACCATATTAACGTAAACTTTATTTTTTTTATATTAAAAATTTTAGTGACGTGATTATCACGTTGCAATAACTTTTTTTTAACCACGTGATAATCACGTCACAATTTCATGTCGCTGGAAAAAAAAAATTTATAGTGAATATTTAGTCTATAATTTAAGAAACCTAAGAAATGCCTAAAATTATCAATGTCAAATTCAAAAAAAAATTCAAATAATATATTCTCTAGATAGTTCTTATAAAAATCATATTATCATATAAGATCAAATCTTCATATAATAATAAAATAATAATTAAAATTGACTTTAAATTTTTTTAACTGCTATCAACTTTATTAATAATATTTCATAGTGGCCAAAAAAGAAAATAATGATAGAAAAAATATCATAAACATATTTTAAATCATTTATTTGTAAATCCTTTTATTTTTAATAACATACATCATAAAGAGTATCATATGTATATTTAATTTTCTCGCAAATTAAATTTATTTTTTATTATAATATAAAATTCTTATACTATTCAATTTGTTCCTTAACATTCTTCTAATAAAAAAATCTAAAATAAATAAACAAAAAATGTCTTATTTTTCAATCTAAAATTAGTAGGATACCCATTCGTTTACCGGTATGATACGCACATTATTTTGAAAATATAATAAAAATATAATGAAATTTTTTTCAAAGACATAATAAGTCGGTGGATATAACTTTTTTAATATATAAAAATATTTAAATCGATAATATATATTTATTTTATATAAATATTATTTTTATTTTTGAATTATTGTTAAAAATATTTAAACCAACATTAAAGTTGTTTTATAATTATTATTGAATATTTTGATCAGTAACTTCATGTTCCCATAAATATTCAATATTTTGATCAGTAATTTCATATTTTCGTTATTATTCAATATTTTGATTAGTAATTTAAGTTATAACAAAAATGAAATAAAAGAAAGACAATTATTTAACAAACAAAATTTATCAGTAACTTCATATTCCCGTTAATATTTAATATTTTGATCAGTAACTTCATGTTCCCTTTAATATTCAAAAATATTATCAATAACTTAATGTTCCTGTTACTGTTAATATTCAATATATTGATCAGTATCTTCGTGTTCCCGTTAATATTCAATTTTGATCAGTAGCTCCGTGTTCCCGTCAATTTCAATATTTTGATCAGTAACTTCATGTTTTCATTAATATTCAAAATTTGAATCAATAACTTTGTATTCATGTTAATATTCAATATTTTAATCAGTAACTTCACGTTCCCATTAATATTCAATATTTTGATCAATAACTTCATGTTCCCATTATAATTATTTTAATTTGGTGTTTTAAAAAAATAAAAATAAAAATTGATTTTAGTAAATAACTATTTTCATCATCGAAATCATCATTTTTAAATATATGTAATTATAGGTAAACAAATTATTATTTCATATTCTCTTCATGATGATAATAATTTTTTTTCAGAAGTCTCACATTTTCTTTATCAATAAATTAAAATAAATATAGATTTTAAAAGTTAATTTTGCCATAAATTTTTCTTTGAGTAATGAGAAACATTTATTTTCTGTGAATGTCATTACTCCATATCACTAATGGAATAACATAGAAATATGACATTGGTGCTGCAATGCAAGGTAGGCTTAGAATTAAGACATTAATGAATAACATATGATTTGGAATGAACGTGTTAAAGATAAAGTTGGGCAACAACAACATTCAAAGAAAAATGGTAGAGTTTAATCCTAGTTGGGTTGAGCATTTGTATAGAATAATACTAAAGGTTAAAGATGAAGGGAGGGAGGGAAGGAGAATTTATTAGGCCAATCAAATTAAGGTTGTGTATTCAAATGGCTTGCAATTTGATATTTGTATTATGACACCACTCCCGAGAAAATGTTATGACTGTTGTCTAAGAGCATCAACATTTCCACTATTGAACAATTCTAATCCCCTGTTTGGAACCACATTTAAACTCTTCAAAATAAATTTTGAAAGGGTGAAAGGTAGTTTGACTCAAAAGTAGTGTTTGGATTTTATCAATGAAAATAATTTCTAGCTTCAAAAACAAGTTTACACTGAAGATGCAATTCCTAGCTTTTACAATTCACTAAAATCAATTCTCAACACACCCTTGAGTGAGTTACACTGATGTTTGACAAAGACAAAAGAGGGTGTCATTATTTTGAAAGAAAAAACTCATTTTGGTAATTATATATCCAAAAGTTATTTTGATCTACAACTTCCAGACATAATGAGTTGATAAAAACTGCTTTAGCATAAACGTATATCCAAACATATATCAATTTGATCTAAATCACATTTTCGTCGTTGAACCAATGATACACTAAGTATGTCACATGAGATTTCTCTTAACAACTTTAGTCCATCAATCAAACCCTTAAAGAAATTTACAAACAGACCCCACAGTGACTCCAATTCTTAAATTTCATCAACCATTACTCTTTTTATTTGTTTATGTCACTGTGACCCAAAAATTGCTTATGCCCAAACCCAATGCTTAATAGGAATTGGCACCAATGAGTGATTCTCTTATTAATTATTACTGCTTAAAAACCCAGCAACAACTTAAACCACTCTTGTGGATTTTCTATAAAGACCAACATGTAGCAACCAAAAATTTTCTTGGTGAAGTGAAAGATTTGAAGTTTTACTTCCACAAGATACTCGACAAAGCTCTGAAGTTGACCAGTGAGAAATGAGACATGCTGTTGTAGAAGCATGAAAATAGTAAAAAAAAAATTCAGTTTATAAATCTTACCAGCCCACGTTCCACTTCCAGAAACAGTGATAATTTCGGCTTCGTATTCAAATTTAAATTCTCCACTGATTCTCGCTATCAACTGTCCAATCTGCAATTTGAAATCAAAATGAAAAAAAAAACATCAAAATCATAGAGAAATTGCAAGTGATGAATATACATTACAAAATTTAAAGATATGAAAGAAGATAGTCAAAATGGAAAACATAAAAGTAAGAATAAACAAATGTTTAGAGGTGGAATTAACCATTGACCCGAGACAAAAATATGAAATCTAAAGCAACCAACTATGCCAGTAATTACATAAAAAGTCACAAACACACTTAACATAAAAAATAAATGAGATAAAAAGCTACAAAAGATACTATGAATTTACATATCCTGATTCCTCGATGCATGTCAATGGCCGAGATGGATGAAAGGTCAGGTTTTTCTGCCGTGCAAAAACCCAAAAGTGCTGGAATTGAGCTGGTATGCCAAACACAGTAGCTAGATTTTTATACATAGTAACAATAAGACAAGAAAATCAAACCATACACTATAAATTACATAATTAAAAGCATAAAAACCTGGAAGATTCAGATGAAAATTTTTACTCTTTCCAACTAAAGCATCTGATTTTTATATAATTATATATTTAAAGTTTTCAGTGCAACATATCAAAATTTTCACACCACTAAGGACCAAATCAAAAGATATATGGTATTAAACTATGATATATCTAATGAATTTCATACAAATAATTAAATAATAATGTAGCTGATAAAGATGGTGATGATGATACCTTAAAATAATTAAATGATGTAACCTTTGTAACATGGAAACTTTTCACCTTGTCAAGGGCCACAAGATCAAAAGTTATATCCTTTCCAATTTGTTTTTCTAGGTCTTCGTATTTCACCACCTAAGTATTATATGTTATGGTTATTGGATATGAAAACATGATTATTTTTTTCCCTTTTTCTTTCAAAATGATAATTAATAATTAAAACATATAAGAGAACTTACATTAGAATATTAAGTGGAAGATTTAAATCTTTGTACAAAACAAAAAGAGCTAAGATCAATCTCCAACAGAATAACCTCAGCATTCAGACTCTCTTTTTGAATATTCTCTCTCACTTCTCTCCCTCTTCGGAAATACCAAGATTTTTTTCGCTTTCAGCATCATATGCAAGGATAACCTTCTCGAATGCATAAATGAGTTATTTAAAAGATAGTACAACTAACCAACTTGTACATAAACATATTACCATTAGTATAATAAAATTTAGAACCAAATCTTCACCATATGATACAGGCTGCGCAAATCATGAGTTAAGAGAAATTGGCGGAGTTGATTCATTTCACCACTTCAGTTAGCAATGATGTGTCTAACAGAAGCTTAAAGCACTTTAGATCCAATTGTGCAGCTGATTCATTTCCAACCAAAATTGAATCATTATAAATTGTAGAAAAATATGCTATTTGGTGTAGTTGATGACTTAAATCTGCATAAAATAGAATACTAATAAACTATCTACTAAGATCTAATGGTATATTAGTGTTGTTTCCAAAATATAATTGTTTAATAAATAAACAAAACATTCATAATTTTTTAACAAAGTTGTAATGAGTTTAGGTTCCTACTCAAAGAAAGATAGGAATATCGTGTTGTGGTGGTTGCTTAAAACTTGTACTGACTTGTGCGATTTTTTCTGGAACAATGCTACTTGAGTACTCTTTTCCAACCTAAAATTCCTACAACTATTCCTACAAAAATGAGGTTTTGATGTCAAATTCCTATATCATATACAATACAACATTGTAAGATTCAAAAGCCAAAAACAAATTATAGCTACAATATGATAACATTTCCACTCAGTTCTAACAGTAGCGATGTTACTAATAGCAGATCGCAAATTTGCCAGCAAATCCAATATGAGATATAAGCGAAAATGAATATACATGCAAATCAATCTTTAATATCTAAAAATTGATTTTGGAACCATGATAACTTGTTGAAGTTAAGCAATTAAAATGCAGTGTGATCCCAAGTCCAAACACCATTTTAAGGCATTAATTTCAAATAAGATAATTCCTAGTATAAAAGAAATTATAAAAAAAATTGTAATTTGATATACGACGAGATGTGAGCATGAGCAGTACAACTCTTCTATGACTTTTTACGAACATAAGTTGTTGAAATCTGCATCATCATTAGTTATTGAAAACAACCAATAAATCATGCAAAACAGCACTCACTAAGCATAATTTTTTTGAGTTTTGAGTTTCTTACCTTTCCACCAGAAGAACTACTTTCCATGAAATCATGTTTGAAGTTGCTAATAGCAGCATTCAACCAATGTGGAGCTTTAGCAACAACAGAAGACCTTAAGAACAAAACTCCGTCAATTTTGGATAAGTAAAATCGAGGGGGCGAAGGAAATTAGGATACATAAAAAGGTCAAAATGTAGTTGATGAAAGAAATTTAGAATTTTATATGCAACCAATAAAAGTTTAAATGACTACCATCTCATACTCCACATCTAATTTCCTCCAATCTGTGAAATTTGTGATTGCGTGGATGTATTTAATCTACAATACCATGAGAAAACACAATAGAAAGATAAGAAAAGGGATCGGCAAATGTTATTAGATTTCACAATGCAACTGAAAAACTATCCACCCCACTCCAACACACAACTCAGAATCATGCAATTCCACTTTAACATCATTTACACTCCTCTTAACCATTATAGTCACACCCTTCAGATTTATTCAAAGAAATTCGGCAAATAAGAACAGTGGTAGAAAAATGCCAAGGTTTAAATTTGTACTTGATCCTATTATTGATGTCGAAGAAATTGTATCAACTCTTGTTTATTTATCTTTCTACTTTCTTCCCTAAGTGTTTTTCATATACACTAGTATATAAAAAATGATGGCCCCCTGAATCTGCAGTTAATTTAAAGATGGCCTCATGATGAGTGTCTAGAGACAATAGATGAGATCGCAAAACCGATGTACACGAAAAATCAATCGGCATGGATTTGGTAGGTCTCCACCAGCAAAATTTATCATCAAGACAATCCCAATTGGAGGCAAGTTATGTTTCTCCCAACCAATCACATGTCGCAAACACTTTCAAGTCTTTCACTAAAATATCCACAACTTTCGCTCGATTTTTCGTGCAACATTTATTTCCAACTTAACATCAAACCAACAACAGAGAAATTTACAACGCAACAAGCAAATTAGAAAAGACTTAACACAAGTAACCTAGTTGTCTAATGCTTCTAGATACTTCTGCTTTCGTATCTCAAAGAAGATCTTCATCGAGTATCAGTTATCATCTACCTTAGTAAAACCAGACAAGTACTTTTCCACCTCATCCCACTCTACCTATTCGTTTCCATTTCCTCGAAATACCTCATATTAAAGAAAAAACCTAATTCTTGCTTCAACCTTCACATTCACAAATTCAAATACACAATATAAGTCGTAAATTAAATAAATAAATAACTCAATAAATTACAATGAATTCATGAAAATAAACACCCCTATGAATAGAATCCTTGAATTTCTCTTCATCTAGAAACTAAAGTATAAGAAAAACCAGTTCCCTGCCAAGCGAAGACATAACGTTGACGCCTGAAAGATCTAAACCTCGAACATATCAACAATATCTGAAACATAGAAACAACGAATTTCATAACAGAAACATCAAAGTACGATTATACACAAAAACATCAAAATCACTATGGTAAGAATGAGAAAATTCGTCGGCACAAACCGAGAGAGGACGAGAATTACGAGGAAGGGTTTGGTTAGAGTACTCTCTCTTCTCTCTCTTCTTCTTAAAACAACAACATTAAAAAAGTCATATAAGAAGATGGAGAAGGAAGAAGAAGAGGAGTGGTTTTGTGAGAGAGAAAGGACGAGAGAGAGGAGAAGAATGCGAAACCGTTGCAAAATTGGAAAGAATTGGGAAAGGTGAGGAAGACAGAAGGATTGGAATGAGAAAATTCTAATTTTGTAACTGCCATGTTGGAAGTGGGAAACGATTGAAGAAATAATTGAAGAAGAATTTAAAGTAGTGATTTGTTGAACCTCATGAAGCCACATGTCAACTTTTTGAAAAGAAAATAGTCGATTTTCTTATATTGTAGATTTGAAAAATACATATTAAGATATATATTTTTTAATTTTGTTAGTTTTTTTTTTTATAAAAAACAATAACTATTGTATAGCTGTGTTTAAAAAGTGTTATAGTGATAAAAATATATGATAGTTGATTTTTATTGAAACTGAAAGGATAAAAAGAATTTTAAAGATAAGGCATATCTATAATGAACACACTATGAAAAAGATGTGACATTTAATTTAGATGTCCGCTATTTAATTATTGTAAATAAATTGATTGATATTATTTTTAATAGTAATAATAATAATTAGACGTATATATATAATTTAAATAACGTAAATTTATTCTCTTATTATACATATTTCTTTAAAATAATTTGTTCTCTATATTAAATATAATGAATTTGTATTTTTGATTATCTATCAAATATATAAATTGATACTTTCTTTTTATTTTAAAATGTGGTATTTAATGTCATTCACTATTTATATTTTCATGTTACATTATCTAAAACCATGAAAAAATATTTAAAAAATATTAACTTTTTTTCCATAAAAAATATTTACGTATTTCCATTATTTTACTTTTCTATTAATTGACAACATAAAAAGAGTTATATATAAACAATGCATTCAAAATATTAAAATAGATTAATAGTATAATTAAATAGTTATATAGATAACATTTTTTTAAAGATATTAGTAAAGTAATTCATGTAATGTGCAAATTTTACTTATAAGCAAGTGTTAAAAAGAAAAATAAATAGATGAAAATACATCTTAAGGTAAATTAGAGATAAACAATTAATGTTAACAATATTACTTCTCTAAGCTTAAAGTTGTAAGTGATTGATTTTATACTTTTTCAAAAGTAAAGAAAATTTTATGCGATTATTTTTTAGTAAAGAATGGATTATATTATTCATTATAATATAACATGTATGACTCCAAAGAGTCATATTTAATATGTATGAGTTTTTAGTGATTAGTATCTAACACACAAAATATATGAAAAATTAAAGAGAATTAATATAATTTTTTATGATATATTTCTAAACATATAGTTGTTGGTGTTTATGGGGATCAATTGACATGCATCACTCTAAAAGTCATATTTAATATATGAGAATTAAGGAAATTATATTTTTAATAGTTTATCTAATATTAAAGAATATAATTTTAAATACAAATTTGATAACAGATATGTAGTTCCTTACAATCCATATTTGTTGAAGAAATTCCAAGCACACATCAATATGGAGTGGTGTAATCAAAGTATTTCAGTTAAATACTTATTTAAGTATATTAACAAGGGGTATGATAGAATTACTGCTGCTGTTGTCCAAACTGACGGTGATGGATCTCCCTCGGTCAGAATGGTTGACGAAATCAAGCAATATCTTGATTGCAGATATATCTCACCAAGTGAGGCATGTTGGAGACTTTTTTCATTTCCTATTCATGGTAGATCACCCGCAGTTAAAAGGTTGTTCTTTCATCTTGAAGGAGACAACTCTGTTTATTATACCGATTATGAATTGATAGATGAGGTGCTTGACAAACCAACTGTGAAAGAATCTATGTTTACGGCATGGATGGAAGCAAACAAAGCATACCCAGAGGCAAAGAATTTGACGTACTCACAATTTCTTTCCAAATTTGTTTATGATAAAAGATACCGTCGATGGAGACCGCGTAAAAGAGGAAATAAAATTGGCAGACTTATTTGGGTCCCTCCAAGTACGGGTGAGTTATATTTCTTGAGAATGATGCTAACAGTCGTCAAAGGTCCAACTTGCTATGAGGATATAAAATTTGTGGATGGAAAAGTTCAGGATTTTTTTAGGGATGCATGCTTCGAAATGGGCTTTCTTAAGGATGACAAGGAATATGTTGCAGCCATCGACGAAGCAAAGAATTGGGGTTCTGGGCTATTCTTGCTTCAACCATTGAAGTTGTGGACAAAATCAATCATTATGTATTAGACTTGATACCAGGTACATGTGTTTTATATTTACTGTATTATTACATTCATAATATATATATATATATATATATATATATATATATATATATATATATATATATATATATATATATATATATATATATATATATATATATATATATATATATATATATATATATATATATATATATTTAAGAACATAGTTTTACTAATTTATTTATGTTTTGCTTTTAAACTTTTTTTTAGGAGA